CTTCATATCCCCTGCAAGTACTGTAATATCTGGACTAGTAACACTGCGTAGTAACGCGTTCAGTTCGTGATAGAATGTGTCCTTGATAGCATTTTAACTGCAGTCGGTGGGAGCATAAACGGAAACCACAAACAGCGTTTTATATTACTTCGTGAGTAAACCTTAGCTGATATGCTCAAACGGGCTGCACATAAACGGCTGTTTACCGGAATCCAATCAACCAACGATGGCTCAGCCTTGGAGCTTAGAATGATACCTACACCAGCTTGACCCGTGAGTGCTGCATCGGCCTCCGGATGTGTGCAACCAATAACTAGAGGATAAGCCGATTGCTGTTAATTCAACGACCTTGTTAGGGTCCTTGATCCTAGTTTCGGACACACAACAGACATAAACACCCAGTGTGTCTGCGATGCGTGCGAGTGCAGCCTGTTGACCTATTTGGCTTAGAGTGCGACTGTTGATCGCCTCCATGTAAACGGGACCGCGTGGCCTAATAAGGGACTGCTGCGGATAGGCCTCCGGTGCATGTCGCGAGGTTGCTGCAGATGGTTCTACTCCAGTGGCACTTTGGTTGCTGTCAATTAAGCTAGGAATTATAGAAGGAAGGTTAGTAATGGAGGTCGAGATGGGAGAAAAACAGGTGGAAAAGAAGGGAGGCGCCAGCAGTAGCATGTTTTCGCTTATCCGCCCTGCTGTATGCAGCAGATAAGGCGACCCTTGATAATATGCGCGACGACCGATGCATGGTATAGTTTATGATTGAAGAAAATGTCATGGTTGTATGTGGGCTGGGATACTGCCAGGGCGCCCAGATCTAGACAGAAGGACGATTAGAGTCCTCGACCAAAGCCTTGGGCTCAAAAGCCTGTGCGCAGGGCAGCAGGCAAGTGGCAATGATTTAGTTTTACGTAAATGGACTCCCTCTCATTTCAAACCCCAACCTGGAGGGCCAGGAGACTGAGTTTGTCTGACCTCTCACCACTGAACAACCTGGTAGGAGTAGCGCTCCAGATGCTCGGAGGCATCACCCAGTATAGCTCAATGAGTCAATGAGGTACGCAAACCGTCACACCACGTTAAGGTCCAGTCTCGTTGCGACGGACGGCGGATATCTAGTTCTTCGGTGCGTGACAGGCGGCTCCACATATGTAGATAGTGGCGTAGACTAAGGCATCTTTTGTCTGCGGTCACTACGAATCGTGCTCATCATAAGAAGTTTAGCCAAGCATTGTTTACAATGAGGCTTGGAAGCTGGTTGAGATCGTATGGTTTAAATCCGCGACGTACGGTCAGTAATGAGTGCGCCTCGGTGGTCATCCGAACTGTATGCAAATCTTAATACGAACCAATGCGTGTTCAGAGTCCAGAAATGTTGACCAGTACGCTTCCGCACCATCTTTACCTGATTGCAATATGGTCAAGCTTGGATCACCCTTGCATTTGTGAGGGGTTCGCCAGGTAGCACTCTGTCTCTTCGAGTGTCGAAAACTAGTGGTCGAAAGAAACAAGTGATGATCTGGGCAGAGAGCAAGTAGTCTGTCTCCATGGCCTGATCAACTACTTCCGAGGCCAAAACTACCCCCAAGGTGATGCTCGTTTGGTGGAAGGCGGCCCACCCGTACGTTAGAATTTTCAGCAAGAATGACAATATCAGTACCTTTTGGAGGAACGCAGGTCATGTAACTGTTAGTAAGAGTTATTCTTGACTGCATCCCAACTGCAGTCTGTAGGGGCGTAGGCGGAGACGACAAACAAATCACGCTTAATGTCTCGATGCCTGCTTACCTTACATGAACCTATTAACCGAACTGCGCATATCTGAGTGTTCACTGAGATCCAGCCAAGCAGAGGTGATTCAGCCCTGGCACTCAGCGCAACCCCAACACCAGCTTGGTCAGAGGCGGCAGCCTCTGCGTCCTCAGAAAGGCGCAATTGGTACGTGACGTTAGGGTTTACCGGAGAGGCCATTCTGATGACGCCGCTCGAGTCTTGCAGTCTGGTTTCTGAAAGGCAACAGATGTCTACGGGAAGCGTTTCAAGAGTACGGGTCAGGGATGCATCATAGTGCGAACGTTAAACGCTTTGAATGATGAACCAGGTGGAAGAAAAGCTTTGGTTTCGATAGAGTGAGGGACGGTTGCGATCGCAGGACACTGAAAACCAGGAGTTTGGCTTTTGCTTCCATCAGTTGCCACCAGTGGGTAGTTTGTGGCGGTGACTGGGGAGAACATAAGAGTACGTGTGGGCGACGGAATGGAAGTGGGATGTCTGTGAATTGAGGTTGAAGAGTGGTGTTAGCGGAGCTGATAAACAGCAACGAAAACAGTAGCGCAGCAATGTGGTCCGCAACATGGAAAACGACCCACAACTCTTATGTCTAGAAGTGTCTCCAATTAAACATGTGCACCTTTTGCTAACTAAACCCGGAAATCAAAAGGCGCCAACTGAGTCCAGATTCGAGATGGCGGCCTTCTTTCCTTTTTTGTGCAAGCCAGTGGTTAACATCCTCTCTATAACCTGATCGCTCAAACAACGCGCGTCACGTAGGTCAGTGCCGGTATTCCTAACACATGACCCAGACATTGGAGC